TAGGTATACCACAAAGAACTGTTGTTAGAATTTTAAGAGCTCTAAATTATCCCTTTTCCACATAACTCTTACGCAGGCTTTACAGCCTAATCATCATCTGATGCGTATTGCTTTTTGCCAGTGAGCTTTACAAATGTTACACGATGATCCTAATTTTTTTAGGTATGTGCTTTTCTCAGATGAGGCTAAATTTTATAGTGACGGACAACTAATAGACACAACTGCCATTATTGGTCAGATGTTAATCCCCACTGGTATAGGCCAATAGATCATCAAAATCGATGGAGTATTATGGTGTGGTGCGGCATTGTAAATGGTTATTTGATTGGACCTTATTTTTTTGAAGAGAACATTGATAGACACAGTTACTTATCGTTGCTAAGAGATCACTTACCAGGCTTATTAGAAGATGTTGACTTAGCAACAAGAACAAGAATGTGGCTTCAACAACAGATGGTGCTGCACCGCATTATGCACTCATTGTACGTGCCTTTTTAAATGCCAGTTACAATGACAGATGGATTGGACGAAAGGGTCCAGTTGAATGGCTTCTTGCTCACCAGATCTGACGTGAGAGGCAAGGGGACATACATAATCAGCAACACCCGACGTGAGAGGCAGGGGACTCACGATAATCAAGCACCCCGACGTGAGAGGCAAGGGGACTCACGATAATTTAAGCACCCCGACGTGAGAGGCAAGAAAACTACAATAATCAAGCACCCCAACGTGAGAGGCAAGGGGACTCACGATAATCAAGCACCCCGACGTGAGAGGCAAGGGGACTCACGATAATCAGGCACCCCGACGTGAGAGGCAAGGGGACTCACAATAATCAAGCACCCCGACGTGAGAAGCAAGGGGACTCGCAATAATCAAGCATCCTAAAGGAAACAGAACTTACTACATCCACGTCGTTGTTTCCGGGTAACGCTAAAAGTAAGATGAAAGTGCTTTTGACCTTGATATGACCTTCAAAAGGTCAGGTCAAAAAACTAAAAAATCCTTATGCTCATGTAAAAAGTGCCATTGTTTAAGAGTCCATTGTCAGAAAAACGGATTCTGTGGGTCAAATAAGGGTTTACTAATAAAAAAATGCGTTATAAACTCAAACACCTTGAAAATTGACCTCAAGGTCAAGCTAGTCAAAGTGATTTACACTTCATTGACTTTGTTTAAGCATTATGCACATTTGTGTTACCCCAGAAAACAAAACCACGTCATTTCAGAAAAAGTACACCAGATCGTTTTTCAGCGCATTTCACCTTTATTTTTGACCTTTCCAAGGTCGCAAAAAACAATTTTTTTAATAAGACAAGTTTGATGTAAAATTTTCCGCTCTTTTAAAATTCGCAGTAAAAATAGGGTGTCCCATTTAAAAAACCATCGTGACCTTGAAATAACCTTCAAAATTGACCTCAAGTCAAAATCAATGGTACAATTGAATGACCCTCTCTGTCCTGGTCAACTTTTATCTAAACCATTTTTTCGTAGATACCGTAATTTGGAAGATATTCGGTCCATAGATTAAAATGACTCACCCTGTATATTCTGTAGCTTATCTTGATAGCTTTCCAAAACCTTATAATAAGTATTTTTTCATGGAGTACTCTTTGAGTTATAAAGGTTCAATGAAGCAATTTTTTGACAAAATGTAAAATATCTTGTAAAATATTACATTTTCGGTAATCATACCTTTTTGCACGGAAAGATGAGACCAACGAATTAGTGTAAAAAAAACACATAGTTGCTTATAAAAAAAAGTATGCAGCTGCATATTGAATATTAAATTTTTTTAAAAGATTATCTGTTTTCCTTACACGATATTTTACATTTCAAACGATAATTCAAATTACATTTCAAATATTCACGATATTCTTCATGTCAAAAATTGTTAACTTTAAACGTTTATAACTCAAAGAGTACTCCATGAAAAAATACTTTATTATAGGGTATTGGAAAGCTATCAAGATAAGCTACATAAATTTTATATAATAAAAAATAGGGGATTCCATTAAAAAAATTCAAAGTGACTTTCATGTGACTTACAAACGACTATCCAATGTCAACCAATGACACCATCTTATGTCACCCTCGAAGTTAAATAACTTTTGTTCGAATCATTTTTTCGTATCTCTAATATTTTTAGAAATATTTGTCTGACAATGAGACGATTAAAATGGAACACCCTGTATATATTTATATGTATGTATGTGATTTATATAAAGTAACCGAATAAATTATTTGTGAAATTTGCAGACATGAAAAAATAGTTTATATCGACATATTCAGTACAAAGGGGACATCATATAGTAATAAACGATTATTTGATGAGTAGAAACATTGAGGGCATTACAAAGTCAACTTCATTTTTTAAAATAGAATGCTATATTTTTTATTTATAGGCTTTTTAAATACAAGTTTATTGATATTACATACAGATATTCAAGGTTATAAATACATAGTAAAATAAAAGTCAAATATTTGACTTGTATTCCAATTGTAATAAAATTTGAAGTATTGACCTTGGACTTGACGACACGGATAATTTTATGTGTCAAATGATGTACTGCTTCTCTACTTCTAATAAAATATTTTAAGTGTTGCAGTTATTCGAGCAATCATATGTATAATATATTATTATGAGTTCTTTTATAGTCATTCAGAATACAATGCTTTTCATATATTCCCATAATAAATATAATTTATCAGATTGGACTCAGGTCATTAGATTACATTCTCCTAAATTATTTTTTATAGAGCAATATAAAAAACATGTGTATTCAAAACTATGTACAATTCGTAATAATGATACATGATTGCTCGAATAACAGCAACACTTAAAATATTTTATTAGAAGTAAGAGAAGCAGTACATCATTTGACACATAAATTTATCCGTGTTGTCAAGTCCAAGGTCAATACTTCAAATTTTTATTACAATTGGAATACAAGTCAAACATTTGACTTTTATTTTACTATGTATTTATGACCTTGAATATCTGTATGTAATATCAATAAACTTGTATTTAAAAAGCCTATAAAATAAAAATATAGCATTCCATTTTAAAAAATAAGTTGACTTTGTAATGCCCTCAATGTTTCTACTCGTCAAATAATCGTTTATTACTATATGATGTCCCCTTTTGTACTAAATATGTCGATATAAAAAAACTTTTTCATGTCTTCAAATTTCAAAAATAATTAAGTTATTTATATATATATACAGGGTAGGCCATTTTAATCTTCGCACTAAAATTTCTCAAAATTCAAAAGTTTAAGACAAAAATGTTTCAGATAAAAGTTGTATGGTTTCAAGGGGGACATGAGATGGTGTCATTGATTTGACCTTGAATAGCCATTTGAAGGTTACGTGACGGTCAACTTCAATTTCTTAAATAGAACACTATATTTTTTCTTGCATACTTTTATAGCTGACTTCAAGATCTTTCCAAAACGCTCTACAATAAAAATATTTTTCATTAAGTATTTTTCGAGTTATTAGGCTGCAAATTTGCAGTATTTTGACATAAAATACAAAATATCTTGGGAAATATTCATTTTTCGATTATCATACCTTATTTTATGCACAGAATAATGAGATGAATCAGTTGGTGTAAGAAAAACACATATTTACCTTTAAAAAAATATGCAATAAGAAAATTGCAATAAGCAGTTAGATAATTTTTCTTATGTGTTTTCTTTACACCAATTGATTCGTCTCATTATTCTGTGCATAAAAGTATTAAGGTATGATAATCGAAAAATGAATATTTCCCAAGATATTTTGTATTTTATGTCAAAATACTGCAAATTTGCAGCCTTATAACTCGAAAATACTTAATGAAAAAATATTTTATTGTAGTGTTTTGGAAAGATCTTGAAGTCAGCTATAAAAGTATGCAAGAAAAAAATATAGTGTTCCATTTAAGAAATTGAAGTTGACCGTTACGTAACCTTCAAATGGCTATTCAAGGTCAAATCAATGACACCATCTCATGTCCCCCTTGAAACCATACAACTTTTATCTGAAACATTTTTGTCTTAAACTTTTGAATTTTGAGAAATTTTAGTGCAAAGATTAAAATGGCTTACCCTGTATATAAATATATATATATATATATATATATCTATATATAATTCGGTAATATATAAATATATCTTTTCTTGCAGCACGAAGCGAAGGCAGTATTGCTAAAACGACGCCGAGGACGACGCTGACACCGACGACGACGCTGACGCCGAGGACGACGTCAACGCCGAGGACGACGTCGACGCCGAGGACGACGTCGACGCCGAGGACGACGTCGACGCCGAGGATGACGCCGACGCCGAGGACGACACCGACACCGACACCGACGTCGAAGACGACGCCGACGCCGACCCCGGCAACAATGATGATGCCGGCACGACGGCGATGCCGCCGCCGACCCCCGCAACGATGATGACGACGCCGACGTCGACACCGACGGCGATGATGATGCCGACGGAAATGCCGCCGCCGACCCCCGCAACAATGATGACGACGCCGACGTCGACACCGACGGCGATGATGATGCCGCCGCCGACCTCGCAACGATGATGCCCCGCCGACCCACGCAACGATGATGACGACGCCGACGTCGACACCGACGCGATGATGATGCCGCCGCCGACCCCGGCAACGATGATGACGACGCCGACGGCGAAGATGATGCCGACGGCGATGCCGCCGCCGACCCCCGCAACGATGATGACGACGCCGACGTCGACTCGCGACGCGATGATGCCGACGGCAATGCCGCCGCCGACCCCCGCAACGATGATGACGACGCCGACGTCGACACCGACGGCGATGATGATGCCGCCGCCGCCGACCCCGGCAACGATGATGATGATGCCGACGTCGACACCGACGGCGATGATGATGCCGACGGCGATGCCGCGCCGACCCTCGCAACGATGATGACGACGCCGACGTCGACACCGACGGCGAAGATGATGCCGACGGCGCCGCCGCCGACCCCGCAACGATGATGACGACGCCGACGTCGACACCGACGGCGATGATGATGCCGCCGCCGACCCTCGCAACGATGATGCCGCCGCCGACCCCGCAACGATGATGACGACGCCGACGTCGACACCGACGGCGATGATGATGCCGACGGCGATGCGCCGACCGCCGACCCCGACCCCGCAACGATGATGACGACGCCGACGTCGACACCGACGGCGATGATGATGCCGCCGCCGACCCCGCAACGATGATGATGATGATGCCGACGTCGACACCGACGGCGATGATGATGCCGACGGCGATGCCGCCGCCGACCTCGCAACGATGATGACGACGCCGACGGCGAAGATGATGCCGACGGCGATGCCGCCGCCGACCCCCGCAACGATGATGACGACGCCGACGTCGACACCGACGGCGATGATGCCGACGGCGATGCCGCCGCCGACCCCCGCAACGATGATGACGACGCCGACGTCGACACCGACGGCGATGATGATGCCGCCGCCGCTGACCCCGCAACGATGATGATGATGCCGACGTCGACACCGACGGCGATGATGATGCCGACGGCGATGCCGCCGCCGACCCTCGCAACGATGATGACGACGCCGACGTCGACACCGACGGCGAAGATGATGCCGACGGCGATGCCGCCGCCGACCCCCGCAACGATGATGACGACGCCGACGTCGACTCCGACGGCGATGATGCCGACGGCGATGCCGCCGTCGACCCGGCAACGATGATGATATGCCGCCGCCGACCCCGGCAACGATGATGATGATGATGCCGACGTCGACTCCGGCAACGATGATGATGCCGACGTCGACTCCGGCAACGATGATGATGCCGACGGCGATGCCGCCGCCGACCCCGGCAACGATAATGACGACGCCGACGTCGACTCCGACGGCGATGCCGCCGCCGACCCCGGCATCGACGGCGATGCCGACGACGACTCCGCACCGGGAAAAAATGTGAAAAGGTTAGTTTTATAATATTTTGTTATATTTGTTAGAGAAAGGGAGGGAGACACACGAAATAGAGGTAAAAAGTATGAGACCTTCGTAAAATTTGTATCTTTGCTTATAAGAAAAAGATTGAAGTTGAAACTGTGCATATTTATTAGTCTTGCTATGTATAAATTTTTCAACTTAAAAATCGACAATTATCTTCTAAAAAAAATTACAATTTTTGAAAATAAAATTTACAAAAATTTTCCATTTTTATAGAAAATAATTGTAATTTTTTTTAGAAGATAATTGTCGATTTTTAAGTTAAAAATTTATACAATGCAAGACTAATAAATATGCACAGTTTCAACTTCAATCTTTTTCTTATAGGCAAAGATACAAATTTTACGAAGGTCTCATACTTTTTACTTCTATTTCGTGTATCTCCCTCCCTTTCTCTCTCTCTCTCTCTCTCTCTCTCTCTCTCTCTCTCTCTCTCTTTTCTGTTTTATATACTGTATACAATTTATCTTTTCCAGTAAGAATAATTTTTATACCAATTTACAGCTATATATGAACAGATAATAAAATTTATTTGAACCAATTCATATAAAATATATGTCAGTAAAATCTACTTCAACGAATTACTTCGACGAATGATACGTAATAATGAGACAGTTTTTTTTATGATAAATGTATATACTTATTAGCTATAAAAATCATGTGAGTTATTATATTGTGCAAATATTATAAAATTGTATGCCATTATATATATTATGTTTGATAATATAAATAATAAAAATTTAATGTATTATTTATATGATCAAACATGATATATATAATGGCATACAATTTTATAATATTTGCACAATACAATAATTCACGCATGATTTTTATAGCTAATAAGTATATTCATTTATTATAAAAAAACTGTAAGTCTCATTATTACATATTATACGTCGAAGTAATTCGTTGAAGTAATGATTTTACATATATTTTATATGAATTAATTCAAATGAATTTTATTATTTGTTCATATATAGCTGTAAATTGGTATAAAAATTATTCTCACTGTAAATGGAAAAGATAAAGTGTATACAGTATATAAAACAGAGAGAGAGAGAGAGAGAGAGAGAGAGAGAGAGAGAGAGAGAGAGAGTATATATAAGTGTATGTAAAATATATACAATTATTTCTTTTTCAGCGCATAAATGAGGCCATACGACGGGCCGTAAATAAAGAGCGGCGAAAATTCAACCGAAGACCCGGACCTGCACAAAAATATATGCCCGGGCCACCCGGAGGTTATTATATTCCTGCACCAGGATATATAACCGGCGCAGGAGGATACGCTCCCGCGCCAGGATATGTGCCCGGTGCCGCAGGATACATGCCGGCACCGGGATATGTGCCTGGCGCAGTAGGGTACGCTCCCGCGTCAGGTTATGTGCCTGGTGCTGCAGGGTACGTACCTGCACCGGGATATATGCCCGGGCCTGCAGGATACGTACCTGCACCGGGATATACGCCCGGGATATACTATAAGTAGGGTAAAGGTACCGATCTCATAATTAAAACGTAATTATCAATTACACATCAAACTAATCATCATTTGAAAAACAATGCCCTGAATATTTACTTTTGTTAGCAGTATAAAGTTATAAATACAGATATAAATATATATGTAGTACACATATACACACTTATATATAAAATATATAATATATATTATTCTCTAAAAGCATGTTAGTTGAATCTCGTCCCTTTCTAAAAAAGGCATATTAGTCGAATATCGATAATATATCCCTTTTTTTAGAAAGGGACGAGATTCAACTAACATGCTTTTAGAGAATAATATATATTATATATTTTATATATGTGTGTATATGTGTACTACATATATCATTATATCTGTATTTATAACTTTATACTGCTAACAAAAGTAAATATTCAGGGCATTGTTTTTTAAATGATGATTAGTTTGATGTGTAATTGATAATTACGTTTTAATTATGAGATGAATCGGTACCTTTACCCTAGTGGAAAAAAAGTCATGCAATGTAATTTAACATAAAGCAAAAACAAAAAACACAATGTGAATTATATAAATTCTATTTTATATAAAATATATAATTATAAAATATTTATAGTTATTATTTTATTTCCTCTGTTCCTTTCCAATTTGTACTGTCGACCGCTTCTATATTCTTTTAGACGTCCTCTCGCGCTCTCTCTCTCTCTCTCTCTCTCTCTCTCTCTCTCTCTGTCTCTCTCTTTTTGTTTTATAGATTGCATAGAATTTATCTTCAGGGTGTCGAGCGGTCTTGGAAATCCTTAAAATCCTGGAATTGTCCTTGATTTTTTTTTATGTCCTGAAAATCCTGGAATAATGTGTATTTTTTTCATTATATCCTGAATTTTTCTTACTTATCCTTGAAAATGTTAATGTTTGTATAAAAATATTTTTACAGGAATTTTCAATGCAGATATCTATACTTTTCTCTTAATCTCAATCGCAATTTGTACAGAGGAATTACAAATACAGAAGAAAAAGCTCTTATCAAATGCTAAAGAAGAATCTGATTTAATTGATAAGGAGGTTCAAAAATTAAAAAATTTAATCAAATAATTATTTATGTTACATTTAATAATTCTTATGATCTCGAAAAATTACTGTACCTTTCACAAGCAACAAAAGTACCAAAGTTTAAGTTAATTTAATTATTTAATTAAATCTTAAATAAAAAGAGAATATATATATATATATATATAATTTATGTTTTTGTTTCTAATCAACTTTCATATGCTTTTAATTAACAAAAAAATTCCTGGAAAAAAATACTTTTTTGTCCTGGAAATCCTGGAAATGTCTTTGAATGTCTTAACCTTGTTTCGCTAGACACCCTGATCTTACATTTACAGTAAAAGTAATTTTTATAACAATTTACAGGTATATGCAAACAAATAAAATTCGTTAGAATCACAATGTCTATCAAATATATATTTCAGTAAAATCATTACTCGAATTACTTCGATGTATGAAAAATAAGATTTAGTTTTTATAAATTATAAATGCATATACTTATTATCTATAAAAATCATGTGAATATTATTGTATTATACAAATATAATTAAAATAAAATTGTATGTCATTATATATTTCATGTGTTTGATAATATAAATAACACAAAATTTTTTCTGTTTTATATATATAGTTTTTTATAGAAAAAAATTGATGTATTATTTATATTATCAAACATAAAATATATAATGGCATACATTGGCTACACTAATTCAGAGGTTATCTTTTTCTTTCCAATGTCGAACAAAAAAGACAACCTCTGAACTAATGTGGCCAGTGTAGCCAAAACGAACAGACCTTATAAAAAACAGAAAGAGAGAGAGCGAGAGAAAGAGAGAGAGAGAGAGAAACACGTTGCAGCTCCATCTATCACGATATCACGCAACTAATCTACTGCTCTGTTTTATTCCGCAGCCTCGATTTGCACACACACATATGCGTGAAATGTTTTTTTATATATAACTTTTTTATTAGACTTGCAATCTCACTTTTAATTGCTTACTAATATTTCTTCATATAATCCTTACCGCGCATACTATATTTCATGCACAGACAAACTGCAAAACTTTTTTTATTAAATAAGTATTATTACGAACTGACACAAAGCAGCCGATAACAAAACTGTAATTTTTGATTTTTATATGATTTATATATGCAAACATAGCTAGCGCGGTCCGTTTTTATAAGTACTTTAATCGTGGAAAAGGATTTATTGATCAGTATAGTCAATAAAAAGTTATATGAAAAAATAAATATTCTCGCATTCGGTCGGTAAAAACATCATTTAGGATCCCCTTAATACATTTAAGGTATGCTTTGGCAGGTGTCACAGATAAAACACTTTATATTTATATTATAATATTTGTTATTAATAACTATGCCTCTATTTTGTGCAGTATATTGATCTCAGCAATGAAATCCTTCAAAAACAAATTGACTGATTTTGGTTTGCTACGTTTAATAAACCTCACAATTTTGAATCGATGAACTATTTGTTCATCATCATCGCTGTCAAACATCTGTAAATATATTATATGTATGTATCTTTATGTATAGATGCTGAAGTTAAGTATCATATACTTCAGGACTATTATTTTATTTAATTTTGAGATTAAATAAATAATGGTAATCCCTATTTATATGCAAAGAATATAATTATGTATATAATTATGTACACACACACACGCGCGCGCCCGCACGCACGCACGTATATAAACGCGCCCACACACACACACACACACAATTATATTTTTACATAAATAATTAGCATTGTTCGCTTAACTTTACAATTGAATAAAGGAATAGTCCTGAATATGTAATATGTAATATATATATTGCGCGTTTGCGCGTGCGTGTATGCGCGCGTGCGCGCTATTTCATAATTAACCTAATTAATACTTACAATTGCAATTTTATTCCGAATGTGGTAATATACACACAAAAAATGCAAGCTTGCAAAGGAAAGGAACCACCAAAGAACAAAAGATATGCGTACACTATTCGCTGGCCGGAACCACCAAAGAACTAAAGATATGCGTACATTATTCGCTGGCCGGTACACGTGGTCGGTCAGTGAAATATCCGAATGATCAGTGAAAACATAAAAATAATGTCCAAATTGT